TTTTATAAGAATGCTAGCTCACAGGAAAGACTGCTGATATTTCAATATCTCTGGGCACATTTTCTGAAGTCTAGCTGAAGAAGTCAAATGTTGACAAATGTAAGTTTTCATGGAAAAAGAACTATATTATTGCCATTCTATTTAATTCTATTCAAATATGAGTACCTTTGAGTGGCCAGAAATGTTTAAAGTTGTTTCTTGGATATAGTAACTACATATTAAAGGCCAGAACTTCAATATTTTTGTCAGAGGGAATATAAATATGATGTTGGACATTATTAAAATATCTAAGGGGCTAGACATTTGTATTTAGGAGATACTAGTGAATGACAGAGATTTATTGATAATTTAGTCAATTGTATAAAATAATATATAGTTTCTAGGACTTCTGGTTTGGCATTACACCCAACTAAAAGTGGTAAAAAAATTTACCTCGCATCTTCATTTGAAGCCCCACCCAGGCTAATCAAGGATCTCCAAGAATGATGCCTCAAGAAAAAATAAACACCTTTCAGAAGGAAATATACTCTGTGCTACAACTAATTCACCAAACAATTGTCGCACACAATGAGGACACAAAAAAACCATAACGAGACTAAAAACAATTTAGCTAATAAATATGAGCAAATCTTCAAATTAAATCTACAATTAGAAAATACCCAGACAACGACTACAAGGTATGAACAAATAAACCAGAAATCAAAAGATGAAGCAGAGGAAATTGACCCAGAGACAGAAGAGATAAAAGAAGGGAAATATAAACTACCATATATAAATAAAATACTGCAAGACTTAGTCATAATAACAAAAATGGAAAAGATATTTTACCCTTAGGTCTGCAAAATATACCTGATGATAAGGAAGAAGATTTTTAAAAATGGACTATAGAACTGTCAAGGGAAATGCCACAACTTGGGAGATAAAAAATGAAAAGAGAAAGAGAAGGAAAGTGGGAGTTGCTTAAGGAATATAAATGGCTGGAATTCCCCCCCCCCCTTTGGCACTATGATCTTTAGTTTCACTGTGGGTCACCAAAGGGCTGTCAATATTTTGCGAAGTCTTGTGTACCTCTGTAACTTTGTTTCAGATCTTAGTTAATGTCTGGAAAATTCCAACCAAACCTGGTAGATTCTTCTGAATATAAGAGCAGAAATGCAGAGAATGTAAGCAACAATCTGCCACAAACAGATATTATGCATCACCAGCTCCTGGTCTTGTTTTTACTGACTGTATAGAGCTTCTCCATCTTTGGCTGCAGAGCACATAGTCAATCTGATTTCTATGTTGATCGTCTGGTGATGTCCATGTGTAGAGCCGTCTCTTGGGTTGTTGGAAAAGAGTGTTTGTTATGACCATCGTATTCTTTTGACAAAATTTTATCACCCTGTGCCCTGCTTCATTTTGTACTCCAAGGCCAAACTTGCCTGTTATTCCGGTTATCTTTTGGCTTCCTACCTTAGCATTCCAATCCCCCATGATGATAAGGACATCATTTTTTGGTGTTAATTCTATAAGTTGCTGTAGGGTTTCATAGAACCGGTCAATTTCATCCTCTTCAGCACCAGTGGTTGGGGCATAGATATGGACTATTGTGATATTGAATGGTTTGCCTTGGCTTCGAATTGAGATCATTCTGACATTTGGGGGATTGTATCCCAGTATTGCTTTTCCTATTCTTTTATTGACTATGAAGGCTACTCCATTTCTTCTGAGGGATTCTTGCCCACAATAGTATACCTGATGGTCATCTGAGTTGAATTCACCCATTCCTGTCCATTTTAGTTTGCTGATTCCTAAGATGTCGATGTTCAGTCTTGTCATCTCTTTTTTGACTACGTCTAGCTTGCCTTGATTCATGGATCTTACATTCCAGGTTCCTATGGAGAAAAAATCTTTGCAGCATCAGACTTTCCTTTCACCACCAGATATATCCACAGCTGAATGTCCTTTCGGCTTTGGCCCAGTCGCTTCATTCTTTCTGGCGTTACTAGTACTTGCCCTCTGCTCTTCCCCAGTAGCATATTGGACACCTTCCGACCTTAGGGGCTCATCTTCCTGCATCATATCTTTTTGCCTTTTAGTACTGTCCATGAGGTTTTCATGGCAAAGATACTGGAGTGGTTTGCCATTTCCTTCTCCAGTGGATCACATTTTGTCAGAACTCTCTGCTATGACCTGTCCGTCTTGGGTGGCCCTGCACGGCATAGCTTATAGCTTCATTGAGTTACGCAAGCCCGTTCGCCATGACAAGGCAGTAATCCATATCAACATCAATATCAATATCAATGAATACAGAATAGCAATCGGGTTTTTAATAATCAGTATAATGGCACCTAATCATTTTTTAAATAAATTGTTGGACCTAGTAACACAGCAAAACAAAAAAATGCAGAAGAAAAATATATTCTCACTAAAAGTGGATCCTTCTAAATCTAGCCAACATCAAGCAGAAAGACTGACAGGTAAAACAGTTGGCTTATCCTTGATCTTCTCTGCTTCATTTCGTATATTTATAACAAGAATTTCTGAGTCAATTTATCAGTTACTCTTATAAGGAAGCTACACTGTATGCAATTACTACATAAACTGACTGTGCATTCATCTTCAAATATAGATTATAAATAATATCTTGCACATTCTTTTCAGTGGACACATATAAAAATCACCTCATGCTGTGCAATATAGTTAATTAAATAGGTTTTATTTCTAGGAGGGTATAGAATTGTAACCACAATCACTAATTAATTTGTAATGACTCTCAAATAAGCATTACTGTAGTATATGGAAATTAAAATAAAGAAGAATTGATTCAGTACAAAAGAGGCTTCTGCTAGTTTTCTTGCAACTTCAATTAACCAAACTTAATGAATGGTACAGGTAGTTGTTGCTTTTATAACCATTCAAAGTTAGGATGACCATGGAAAAAGTGATTTACATCCCATAAAGGAACCCCAGCCATCATAAATGATCATGTCGCTCCATGGTCATATGACCACATGTTGGGAGGATCAGCTTTACAATTACTTATAGCATTCTACAGTCATGTGATGATTCTTGATGTTTTTGCTGTTTTTTTTTTAAAAAAACAGGCTATCTGCAATCCACTATGTAAGAAATATGTGTATAATAAGTAAACATGTTTTTTTAAAAAATAATTGTGAAATGTTATAAGTATGATATGGGAGGGTGACATGTTGCATTCACAAGAAAAAAGTATCATTGAACAGGCTAATATTTAAAAACACTTTAATTTAAAGTTAAATTGCTTTTGGTTTAAAATCAAAATCAAATTTAATTTTGAGATGAAAGCTTTTTTATTACATAATCACTCCCATATTTTTTTAAAAAAATTCTAAGCATTTATATAAATTTTAGTGAACTGGTAAATGAGTATATACAAAGAGATTTCCAAAACTAAACAGAAAGATATAAATGTAGAAAATCAGGATTTTTTTTATTTTGGTATCACATTCTAGTTTAGGAACATTGTCACAGCAAAACTTATTTTACTTTCTAGTTTAGTTGATGTATTGTTGGAATAAATTGCCTTGTCAACTGATAAATACCAAGGCAGCACTGGCTTCAAAACTGATTTGGAAGTGCTTTGGACCTCATGAGAAAACAACAGTTCTTAGTTCTTTTAGAGTGGCATTACCGCAAAAAAAGACCTTACTTTTTTTTTAAAAAAAAACCTATTTATTAAAGTCATAAGGTGATTCTTAAAACAATAATATCTTTTCTTATGCCTTGCACAGATGTCTGAATAACATTGGGCTCCTTAATGAATAGTAAAGAGATATTGTGCTCTCACTCATGTAATCTCCAAGCATTTCTTTCAATTCACTTGCAAAGTGTTCAAACTCTTAATATCTATCCATTTGAGGAAATTTATTACATTGCACAGTGTTAACCTTCTTCAGTACCAACTGTCCACTTGCATGAGGTCACATGGCTGTCATAAGCAATCAGCTTGAAAAAAAGATTTTCTGCATCTCACAGGCTGAGTAGAGTGAAAATATTTCTTTATTATAAATTTTCAGTAGAGTCGCCACAACCTTGTACACTTTGTTCAGTGATGGTGACTCTATGGGATAAGTGTGCTGAAGGAGATGAAAGACTCAGAAAAATAAAGTCTCTGAAAGCACCCACTGTAATCTCTGATCACTTCCACATGAATGGACTGTGCCATTATAGGATCAGTTCTACAGGCTAAAAGTTACAATGCTTTTGAAGCTTCCAATTTGATTTCTGCTTCAAATTTAAAATTCTGTAAACATTCTGATCAAGAAGTTGAAGGAATCTTCAGAACTGCTTCTCTAAATTGCACTGGGGGGTGCAATTTAACTTCCCAAACAAATATTATTTATCTTAATTGAAATATATATCCTGAAAAACTTGGAGGAAAGAAAAAAAATGATAGAAGATTGAATTTTGGTAGAAACCGGAATAATTTCATTTTCAACCATAGCTTCCAATTCAGTGGTGGAATTTTGTTTTCTCTAGTTATAGTTGGACTCTTAACTTTCATTAATTGAAATTATCCTACTCAAGAACTTCAACAACATCCAATAGAGCAGAGGCCCCCAACCTTTTGAGCACCAGGGACCAGTTCTGGGGAGACAGATTTTTCCACGGATCGGAGGGGATATGGTTTCATATGCTGCCTGCCTTCCGTGAATAGGGCTTTGCTTGTTTGTGTGGCCTGGTTTCTGGCATGCCGCTACCCAGTGACAATCCATGGACGGGGGGTTGGGGACCCTGCAGTAGAGTACTCATTCAGTCATAATTCATGGTTTAAGATTAGATACTATTATCTGCAGTAGAAAGTTGTTCAGTCTGGACTTTCCAAACCTGGTGCTCTCTAGAATGTTGAATCTTAAGACCTAGAAATTTCAGGTTGGTAAATGCAAATTTAGATTTTGCATTATTAGGCACACTATTCATGCAACATTATGGAAGAAATTTTAAGGAACAATTATAATAAAAGGTAATTTATGTACCTGGTCAAGCTTCCAGTGAAATTCTGCAGGACGGAAGGTATCAGCTTGGTCAAAATCTTTCCGTAGCAAAAATACTAGTCGACAATTATGCACATAAAGTGCATAATGGTGTCGATTCATTTCTAAAAATAAATAAATAGATCAAGATGAGAAAAAGATTGGCATGTGTAATAATTTATTAAAATCAGATTATACAATTAATTTGAAATTAAATTATTACAAATCAATACTTGATTCAGATCTTGAGGCTAATTCTTATAACAGATTATGTTATTTTTCAATATCTGTTTGTACTGAACATTTAAATCTGAGAGAAGAATGAAGAAAGTACAGATTCTAAGTTACCTGTCTTATCAGAATTACACAAAATAGTTTCTTTCTCTGCTCTTAATCCTGGACTTGGGCCATGCTTCATCCACATGGTGATGGTAAAGTGATCAGTTAGATTCTTTGGTACTATTCCATCAGGAATTTTGGCACCTTGCTTTCCATCAAATTTAAAAACCATGTCATTGCTGTCCATCAGAAGACCAGCTGTCCAGTTATTTGTAGTACTGTGTATTGGTAACAGGTCAATGGCACCTGAAGATGCTCCTGTGGATGACATACAATGAAGAGATTGATGAGATACTAATGGGAAAACTGTTATCTGAATTTAGTGTATAAAAATCAGAATCACACTTCATTGTCTCATTTTAATGACAATTGACATTTTTGCATTTAATCTTCCCAAGCTTAATTCCTGGCCATTAAAAGAGTATTAGTGGTAGCAGCAGGATTAAGTAAGTTTGAAGATAGCCACTGCATTGTCAGGATGCCAAGAGGCTAAGCTTTATAGACCAGTAGCCCTGTTTTAATCATATTTTAATTTATATAAATATCTTTTATCTATGTAATCATGATATTCATATTTTTAACATGTGGACTATGGCTTTATGTCAACCTAATAATCAATAATTTGTTTCTTCAAAACCTTTCACAATAGATAATTTCTTAAACTATAACCAATATCACTTTATACACTGATTACAAAAATTAATAACAGTAAAAAGAAAAATAAATTTTCCACCATTATATGAACCTTCTTTTTGCTGGCTCAGAATTAACTGGATGCATATGGAGGTACACTACCAATACTAACACTTCTTTTACACAGATGTGCTCAGACATACGATGGCACATTTCCATCTCTTCAGGAAAGAGTACACAGACTATTATAGAGGATCCAAAAAAAGAAAGGAATAGAATATTGAAAGTCACTTTCCATTACTGAGTGACTTTCCTTCCTTCCTTCCTTCCTTCCTTCCTTCCTTCCTTCCTTCCTTCCTTCCTTCCTTCCTTCCTTCCTTCCAAGAAGCAATGGATGGAAACTAATTAACCTAGAACTAAGGAGAAATTTCATGACAGTCAGAATAATTAATCAACTTGCTCCAGGTATTATGGTTGCTCCATCAAAATAAGATCTTGAGGTTAATTCAGAATAAGAAGAGATTGGACAACCATTTATCGGAAATGGTATAGGGCAGTGGTGGGATTCAGCAAGTTCGCACCATTTCGGCAGAACCGGTAGCTAATTTTTTGTTGCCCAGGCCCAGAATGGACTTCCGGAAGCGGCATCTACACAGAGAACCGGTTGTTCACATATTTGAATCCCACCACTGGTATAAGGTTTCCTGCTTGAGCAGGGGTTGAATTAGAAGACCTCTAAGATCCTTTCCAAATCTGTTATTATGTTACTTTTCTGCTTAATACTCTCCATTATTTTCTAGATACAATATGGAAAGCCTATTGCTGGTTACAAGATTTGTGCTGGAATTTGTAACTGTTTTGATATATAACAGCTATTGGTTGGATAATGTTGGGATTGAACTCACATGGCCTCACTGGGCTATGTGACCATTGGTGTGGCAGCTCCAATAAAGGCATTTGGCTTAACTGAGAAATTCAATTTGGTAACTTCAACTTAGTGATGAAGATTACTTTAAAAAGTCTAAAGAGTCTTTCCACCATCCTTGCAGAGTCCTAGTAAAAGAATTGTATTAATTAGTTAACAAGCAGGATATCTGGTCATCTGTATCCTTCTACATAAATAAATGGCCTATTTTGCCTGATATACAGATGATGAAAAGGATCACGTTCTATCATAAAAATTCAGCAAATATTTCAAAATAAGTTTTATTGCTGACTTTGTACCAAGCAAATTCATTTTTTTTCAGAATATTGTTTATTTAAATTATCTATGCACTTATTACTAGCTTCAGGCCTGCTAACTGCAGACATGTGATCCTTGTCCTCATATAATCAAAGAACAGAAAAGAAATGTGCCTTTTAGTTTCTACATAAATATCAGCATTGTCACTACCAGCTCATAAACACCCAAAATTATATATAGATTAATATGTACCACATAATTTCTGCAGAGATTTCTCTGAATATGTCTCACGATCACAGCCTTTTCCAATATAGTTGGTCTGAAGCTCAACAGTGGCATGGATAGAAGAAACAAGTCCATCACAAGTCTCCAGGTGAATAATGGGAAATAAAGGTATGCTCCCCGAACCAGGCTTGTACTCAATATGTCTTTTCCAGCCTAAAAATAGAAATATTACATACTACAACACGGCCAGCAATGTAACATTTTATGTCTCTTATAGACTTTTTTGTATTTTGTGCCTTTTTAGAAACAGAAGTGAGATGCTTGTGTTTTAAAAAAACCAAAGACCTAATCAGAAGTGAAATTTAAAAAACATTTCATTAAAAAAATATGTCAGCTGCAGATTTCTTTGTTCCCAGCTGTGTAAACAATAAATAACTTAATGTAAAAGTCAACCAAACTCAACAAAATTGTTGGGAAGCTGTTCAAAGGCTACCAAGATAAGATTTTATAATAAAGATATTTGTTTTAGTTCTATTCTATTCAAAGGGATACACACTGAAATCATACATACTGTACATTTTCAATCTGTTCAGATGTTGAGAATTACCACATTGCTATAAAGACTTTCACTTTCCAAGCAGACATTTATCTGAATGCATGCAAGAGATAAGCTGGGCTAGCTTTTCTCTTGCAGACATTTGTACTGAATCCTGAAATGTTACAGGAAAACCTTCAATTGTCTGGATGATATCTGCAGGGAATAAAAGTTAAGCTTTGCAGTGCTTTCCTATTCTTTAGATTCTAGCTCAGATCTTATTTTTTCCCATCAGGCATTTGACTTATCCTGTGAGTCTACATACCTTGTTGCAAAGTAGCTGCATACATAGATTTTAATAAACTTTCTTGTGCATTCAATGTATATTTGAAGATAGTTCAGGGTTAGTCTATTTTCATAACCAGCATGTTCACTGATTAAATTTTCCTTGGCCAGGAACCCTTGGTGTATTCCAGGAAAGAAAATCCTGATTCCTCTATAATTATTTCCACATGTGGAATGCTTTACAAATACAGGAGCAAGACTACTTCATACTCTTAATTATGAAGTGGCAAGCACATACATATTCTAAAGATCCTCATAAACACATTTATATTTCAATGAATTTCACTTATGTATTCATGTATTACTAATTCAGTCCCTGCCTCCTTTCTTTTGACCAAGACCTGTTATGTTCCTCATTGCAAAAATTTAAGCCATGCTATTAGACAAGTCATAAATTTTACAAAATCATTTTATATTAATAACTCTTTTGGTTCTGTAATATTTTGAGGGATATAAACATTTTTAACAGTTTGATGATTCTGATTGTCTTTCCCTACCCACAAAAATTCTAATACAGACATGATGAAGTAGACTCATCATTGTGACAATGTGACATTGTGACTTGTCACAATGGGTCAAATATAGTGATTTGCAATAAGAGTCACTGCTGTAAGTTGAATGATATCACTCAATGCCCTTGATCTGAAGATACTTTTAGTTAGATTTTTCCAATGCTATGGATTTGTTCATATATTTATGTATTATGGAAGGATAGGAGAAAGAGCCATCCATTTAAATTCCTACAGTTTTTAAATTTATGTCATAATACATTGCCAAACACATGAATGTAGTACATATTAATATTCCTCTTCCTTCCCTCTCTCCTTTTCTTCCTTTCTCCAAGAAAAAAATATACATTCCTACATCAATACATTAATATTGGTTAATATGGTTCAGTGTGCCATGTGAAGAAGTGATATGACAGCTGTTCAGAATTTCCCAACACAAAATAAATCCTATGATTTGTCATAAATTTCAACATTGTTGAAGTATTATTTGCAACCTGAAAATCTAACTTTATTTCAATTCAGTGCAGTGTGGAACATTAATACTTTTATAGACCTTTGACAAAACTACTTAGGCCATATTATTTCAAAGAAAGTCCTATAAGGAGTATTCTACGGTACTTTAATCAGGATGATTGAATTACAATTACATAATTTCAAATTGAGACTCAGTCGTAAAAGGTTCCTACTTTTAACAATATTGCTAGCTTTTATACAAATATACGTTTGCAGATATTAGAGATCTTTCATACTAAAGTCAAAATAGTAATTTTAGTAATCACTAAAATTAATGATTCAAAACAATCACCATAATTAAAGATTCCTGTTTGCACAGTGAATTTTTATAAATATATTGCTTAATTGTAAGAGACACTTAGGTGTTGCACTCATTCTTTAAATTAATAGTCCTATTTAAATTGTAATTAGTATATCCAAATATGCCTTATGCAAGACTTTCAAGATAGAACAGGTTGCTCATATGCAAATTTTTGTCAATGCTATATTTTGCTTCAGTTCAAGTAATAATAATTTACTCAGTTTGTAAATGAAGACAGAAATAATAATTATTCCATATAAAGAAAAGAGTTGCAAACCAATATTTCAATACTTAGAATTTAAACTGTAAACCTTGCTATCTTTATAGTTAATGCTTTAATTCTACCTTAGAGCAATTGCTAAACTAGCACTCAGCAATACCGATGAAAATAATGTTCTTTCTTTTAAATGATCCAAAGTAGATTTGTTTTTGATTTTGCAATAAAGATGAGCTAAAATTGGTTTTCTCCCCTTTTTTATTGTAATCCTAGATTGGGGTGGGTTACCTTTTACAATATAGAGACAAATAAAAGGCCATTCTCCAATAGCACTAAATGAATAGAACCAAGGCAATAAAGGTAATAAATCAATGCATACTGTAAGTCAGGACATTCTAGGACAGAGATCAGCTAGCAATTTAAAAGACCATTTCAGGAAATCAGCATCTTTGCATGTGCAAAAAAAGTTTGCCATTGACACATTGTGTTAAGTTTGTTTGTAAGTACATTACTTATCCCATGCTAGTATCTGTTCCAATGAGACAGATACAACAATTGCTATGAAAAGAACTTTTTATTTCTTTGTTGGCCTCTGCTCACTGAGCATAGAATTTATATTTCACGGAGCTTCCAGTTTGCCACGCGGCTACCATGGATGGCTGGGAGACTTGCTCCTTCTCCACCGTCCAGTTTTGCATCGCTGGGGGGCCCTGAAAAGGGCCAAAGGTTGCTCCAAAGAGGCGACCAGCAAGGAGGGGCATTCGCTGGATTGCGGGAGAGCCGTTAGACCTGGTGATCCCTCCAAACCGGTGGACGAAAGGACCGTCCATAGAATATGGCTCGTTCCTAGGCTGCAGACAGCCAAAGCCACACTTACTACCTGGCAACTTCAAAGCAACGTGGAAAGGACTGGGTGAAATCTACTTCTATTAAATCCTAATTGCTCTTTTGTACCTATTTAAGCTGCTAAAGTACTTTCCCCCCTGTGGAGATGGAAGGGGGATTTTAGCCCTCCCTCTGGAAACAGCGGCAATTGAATATACAGGGGAGATTTAAAAAAAAAATGTTGAAAAAATAATTGGATCCCAATTGGAACTTTATTTCTTAAAGCTTATGGACTGAAAGATTTTTTACTTTTTAATTTTCATTATCTATTCCTGTTGAAAATCTGGGGTTTTTTTTCCTTATAAATAAGAAGAAAAGCTGAAAAGATTAAAATAATTCTGGGATTCAAAGGGAAACTTTAAAACAGGGTTTTTCAACCTTTTTACCAATTGTACCACTTTTAGGATATGGCAATATTCGAGTACCACCTAGCAAGATGTCAAAAACTAGATGATCAAAAAAAAAAAACCTGTTCAAAGTTGTAATTGCACTGAAATGACTTATGATCATTTTTCACACTTATGACCATTGCAGCATGCCCAGTGTCATGTGTTTTATATTTGGATGCTTGGCAACTGATTCATATTTATAATGGTCACAGTGTTCCAGGGTCATGTGATCCCCTTCTGCAACCTTTTGACAAGCAAAGTCAATGGCAGAGCTGCTGGTGGCCAAGTGCTAAGGTAAGACTTCCTTTCCTTCCCTACTTCCCTTTTTCTCATTCCCATCTCCTTCTGAAGGAAGAATTTGAACCCCCCCATATTTTCTCTCTTCCATATATTGATCAAACAAGGAAAGCCTCCAGAGACAGAAAAGACAAGCTGCTGAGTGAACTAGCTTAAAAAGGCACATTCCCCTTTAAGAATTAGCTACTGGCTAGAAAGGAAAGTAAGGAGCACAGCTGGCACTTAAGGAAGAAAAAAAATGTAAGTACTGGCTGCCAGCTAAGGCAACCTCCCCAAATGGTTCCATTCATAAGTAAAGGAATGCTACAGGCAAAATCCATTGAGGAGAAAAATACTTCACAATCCCTTGCAGCAAAACTTACAGCTAACAACAGCAGAGCAATAGAAGCTAATAAGAGACATCAGCCATCAGCCAAATAGAAATTGCCAAACACTCCTTAAGAACACAAAGCCCTCATTGCACAAATCCCAGAACTTCAAAGTCACAAAAGCACATAAGAATCTTTCCACTCTCCAGCTCCTTCCCTCCTTCATGCCTCACCTCCAGCCATTGCTGCTTTTTTCATTCCTCTTGGAGGGTGACCCCTCCCCTACTGCATTTCTTGCCTGTTTGCTGCTGCCAGCACAGGTGGCTGCCACAGCAGTTGTAGATCGCTCATGGCCAGCCTGCTTGATCTCCTCTCCCCAGCTCCCCCCTCCCCCCTTCTTCTTCCCCTTCGGTGCAGCTGACTCTGCCTTCTCCCAAGGCTGCTGCTTTTTTTCTATCTCCCTCTCCTGCCCAAACTGCCTCCTTTTATAGGCTCTCCTGTCTCCGCCCCCTCCTCCTTTCTCATGGGGGAGGGTGAGCCAGAAGTGAGCCTGCAGCCTTTGCAGCTCCAGAGGACTCTCTCACTGTAAGTCCTTGCCTGTGCTGGCTCTTTCCCTCCCCCACTACACTTGGCTAGGCAGGACTATGTACCACCTGCCACTCATTAATGTACCACTTGTGGTACGCGTACCACTGGTTGAAAAGCCCTGCTTTAAAAGATAGAGGCGACACCGTGTGGTCAAATTTGGTATTTTAATCTGTTATTTTTCAGAAGCTTGGCTGACAGCCTAGAGAAATAGATAAGACACATGAAAATTTTGAAACAACAGCTGTGAAAGGCTTTGTGTTCCTTACCCAGAAAAAAAAAACTTTTCCTTTCTTTTGGACTTCCTAATTGTAAAGCCTTTACTCTAAAATACCAATATGGAAGAGAATCAGGAACAAAATCTCCTTATGGATAAAGATCAACAAATTCTTTCTATGTTGAAAACAATAATTCAAACTCTCACCACAGCCAATGAAAAATTAAGAAGCTATAGGAAGGAACAAAAAGACAGCCCAGATATGAAAGCCCAAATTTTGACCACAACTAAAGAATCATCTATACAAAATATAATAGAAAAAATGAAACATTCAAATACCATGATAGAAGAATCAACTACTTAACAAATATTGACATTTGATAATCCAGAAAAGACACCAACAACTTGGAAAAAGGAAAAGGTTTCCTATATAAATCAGAAGGAATTGGAGGATGCAGAAAAAGAACAGTTGGATGAGAAGATAAACAACTCAGAACAACCACATTGATACGGAAGAATAAAGAGACGACCGACCAGATCTACAAGCTCTCTCAAAAAAATGGTGACCGGACGGATTCACCAATATCAAATAATATATAGGATATTACAAGAAGATTGTATTGATGACCCAAAAACAAGGACATGGAAGATGATTTGGCAAAGGAAAAAAGCTAGAATAAGACTGAAGAAGAATGGAGTTTCGACCATCTTATCAAAATTTAAAACAGAATATACTTAAATAGATAAGATGTGCATCTTGAACATAAGAATAGTTTTTGGTCATTAAAATTTAGCAGTATAAATACTAATAGCTAAATTTGAATTTCGATTTGTGTATAAAGGTTAAGTAAAGGTGGATAGGATGTAGCTAAGCTAAAATTTATTGATGAAAGTAATAAACAGGCCTATATGGAACGTCAATAACAAAAATTATTAGTTTAAGCATGAGATAGCAGACACAAAGAGGAAGAAAAGGGAAGCATTAAATACTGAAATAAAAAGAAATTATGATTATCACTTAAAAAAATTGAAAACTAGCAGAAAGGAAGGATATTATATTGTATTATAAATTTGTTGATATAGAGGGTGAGAAGTTAAATAGATGTGTATTTTGAATATTAGATTTTGTGAGGAATGGTGATAGAGGAATTGGAGGTATATTAAAAATCTTGGGAATGATAAATATTAAACGTTAAATTTAAATCAGTGGAAATTAAAACTGGAAAAATTAATTAGGTCATTGATTGTCTAAAAGATTGTATGTTAAAACAACTAGGATATATATAAACTAAAAACTATTGATATATATAAGAAAGTTATTTTTTATGTGATGGATAGAACAAAACTTTTTTTAAATCTACAAATAGACAGTATATATGAAGGGAAAAAGAGAGGAAATGTTTATGGTAGCAATTTGAAATCTGTACTAATGATATTTGTATGTAATTGAATTACTACTACCCACCCACCATGTTGCTTTTCAAATATGTGAATGTAATATTAGAAAATCAATAAAATTTGTAAAAAAAAAAGAATTTATATTTCACAATACTATCATTTTTTATGAGTGAATTTAACATTTCTGAGAAGTGAAAGCAGCACTAACCATCAATATAAAGTGTCTGGATATGTGATGGATATGGGATTACTTATTAATAAATGTATATGGCTGCCCATCTCACAATAGCAACAATGTGTGGCTAGAGAAATTAAAATTGAACATAAACAAACCAATAACAATAACATTAAAAGTCAATAATAATGTCAATAAAAATGCAAGGAAAATGTCCTGAAGTCATTGAATACAACAACAAGCACTTCTATGACACCCATTTCACAGCCTCCCCACTGCCTCCGATACCTTAACTAGCCAGGAAGAACATGGATCTGATACACAGGTAGATGAACTTAATGCTGCAAGAACCCCTGCCTATTTCTTCAAGTCCAACAGGATCAAATTTCATGTGGAATTTTGTGGGGAAGGTTATTTTTTTATTTAAAAAAAATCTTGTTAAGACTTCTTTCAGCGTTTATACTACCTCAAAATGATAGGAAACCCTGCTCAAATATTCTGAAGGGGTTATAAGCCCTGATCTGGGTAAGAAAGGGCTGAAACTGTCAAAGGACACTCCAGAGAGATCAGCGTATAAAGAGAATAAAGAAGAAAGGAAATGTGAAGCCCTGCAGATGTTCCAACCAATCAAATGACAATTCTCTATCCTAATGGTACAAAAATTTAGAAAACGAGAATATTTCTCTATATTTTTTGCAAAACTATTTCATAGTTTATGTGATTGTCTGTTCCATATATATTCATGTAGGCTGGTAGCAGCAAAGGTTTATAAAAGAAAAACGCTGCCTAAGCTTGATCTGAGTCAGATAAGACAAGATTGATCAGACAAGCCAAACACTGAACAGTTCAATGGCCATGAAGGCTTTCAGATGTGCTTTCTGTCATGATTCATAGATTGTGTTATCCTCTGTGTTTTCAGACAATATGCAAAGAAGCAAGATTTATTATGACAGTCCTGAATGAATACAGATATTTTGATATGAGAAAATTTATGAAAATGTTTCTTCCACAAACTTCCTTTTAATATTTTGCTTTTACTTATTAAAAGAGCAAAAAAATAGCACAGATCACTAACTGAAATTGTGTAATTTTTATATACTACTATGAAAATCCTTTTTATATAAACCTGTTTAAAATTCTGTAGCCAATGAGAAGATTGAATTAAACATTATCAATATGCATGCAAGTGAGCCAAGAAAGTTGTAACAGCTGAGATTAGGATTACTAAAAACAAGGCCCAAACTGTATTCACTCTGCCAACATTTACAATGTTATAAGTTCACTTTTACTATTTTGAAAAAAAAAATGATCTCACTCTCAAGGACAAGCACTTTTGACTTCTGTAGCCTTAATATAATATATAATATAAGTATATATATTCTTATATTGTACATTATTAGCAAATGCTATCCGGAGAAAGCTTACACATTAATTCATAAATGGGAATATGGAAAAGAAATATACCATATTTATATTTCTGTTCAAGATAATACACTTCTTGCTCTCTATAAAAAAAATCTTTTTAAGCATCTGGGAACATTGGAAACAAATGTGACCTAGATATGTTACCTGAGATACTTTTATATTACCTTTGCATTGATCTCAATGGATCATTAAATAGGTCAAACTTGATACTTAATCAGTCACAAAGACAAATGCTAAAAATAAACCCTTGGCTGTTATTGCATGCTATGTACAAAACATAAAACATGCCTAATTATCCTTTCTTTTGAAAAAGATAGATTTTACCATATTTTACATGATAAAATAATTTATTATCTGCATTTTGAAACCAAATATGTCAGATCCCATGGGCTGAATTAAAACATCATAAGACTCTGTTCTAACCCATAAATTCATAACTTTCAAGTCTTGGCCCAAATTCTACATACTAATGGGATTACTCTTTGGATACATTTTCAAATTACTGAAGCCTGGCATGGATGCCAGTGCTACTACAATGGAAAAATTAGAATTTTAAGTGACTCTTTGTGCTGAACAAGACATAGAGATTCTGCTCCAAATTTCTGATGAGAACATTCTAGCTCACACCTATTTTTAAGGCTTTATTATTATAATTATTTGGGCTGGTGGCAGCCAATTGTATTGGCCTTATTATTACTCTGAACCTACCAACTGCTCATTTATGAAATGAGAAACAATGCACACCAAGCTTCTGTATAAATTGTTGGTTTTATTAACACTATTGGTGGATTACTTTCACTGCTGATGGCAGGTGTTTTATTGTACTGCAGCTGATCAGTTGATTATGATGGTGTATTTACAAAAACAGCAATCTTAGCTGACTGCGATTGAAACCCAAAAGCCAAAGAGAGTTGGGGAGAATTATAAGGAAATTCTATGACTATAAGCTAGATGGAAATTAAAAAAAAATCAGAAAAAAACAGTGGCAAACCATAGTCATATTATTGAGGATTACATTAGATAAAGCTTTTACTTTATCTAAACTAGGGATCTTCAAACTTGGCCCTTTTATGACTTGTGGACTTCAACTCCCAGAATTCCTCAGCCAGTGAGCTGAGGAATTCTGGGAGTTGAAGTCCACAAGTCATAAAAGGGCCAAGTTTGAAGACCCCTGGTCTAAACTTTTAATGACAGTTCCTATGTTCTTATTTATTATCTTCAAAATTGTATAGACTTTGTATATTTAGAATAGAAGTGCTGATAGATCCAGGTATTTGGGGTATATTTCTTTGCTCAATTGCATTGAATTGTTGCTTCAACCATTGAATTCCAATTGTGCCACAACTTTCCTGCAATAGCAATGGACTAATCATGTCAGGGCGATAGACTGATGCATTGAGACTACAAGGACCACTACAGTATTGTCAATACAGTATTGTCTGTCTTACGCCTCACTTTCAGCATACAAGTTTTGAGTAGGACTGAGACTTGAAGAAAACCAACTTCTAATTATTAGATTACTGTAGAGGTTGAATGAAAACTAGTAATGAAGCCATAGTCTAGCAGCCAAGCATTTCTAATTGGTGGTTTAATTTATCCAACTTCATAATTTTTAAATAATATCAGATTATAGCCAGCACTGAGCACATAAATTGTATACTTCATTTTTAAAAACTAAAAATTAAATTATGATTAAGTTTTTGTTATTTTAATTTTTCTTCTTTAATTCTTCTTTATTTCCAGTACAAAATGTATAATTAAATTAACACTAGCATTTAATAATGACACACAATTATTACCTTGCCATCCAGGTTTACACACAGGCTTAACTTCAACACGTACCAGGACATCTTCAGTTGCACGTTTCTGCCCACAGTCAAAAGCTGTTACCATTATTTCATACTGATGCTCTTTGTCATAACTGAGATTTTCAGTATTTCTGATATTCCCTGTAGGTATAACACAGAACAATAAATAGCTATTATTTCATTGCCAACTTACTGGACTAGTGCAATTTACTATAATGAAACTTATAATAATTGTCAATAGTCTACAAAAGAACTTTTATATAAAACAGTATTTCTCTACCTTGATAATTTTAAGGCATGTGGCCTTCAACTCCCAGAATTCCACAGCCAGCATTGCTGGCTGTGGAATTCTGGGAGTTGAAGTCCACATGCCTTAAAATTGTCAAGGCTGAGAAACACTGATATAAAAGGAAATGGGGACAAAAAGCTAGAAGAAAAATTGACCTTCATGGGACCTTTTCTTAAATTGTACTTTTTATTTTATTTTCCTCAAAGTTCTTCAGAACTTTACAATCAAACTATCATCTTATGCAGGGTGGGACCTGACTCTCGAGATTAGGTTCATCAGACACAAAGAAAATAGCTAAGTGTGACAAGCATAGTTTGAAACAGAAACATACTGAATGCAGCACTTGTGTTGAAAATGTGTACCAGCCTCTGTATTAAGGTCACATCTCTAGACCAATGCAACATGAAAGGACATGTATAGATATAATATCTCTTTGATGAATTAATACGACACATAGCACCTTCAGCAAATTTAAATTAATCATAATATCAATAATTCTATTCTTCCATAATTGCCTGGTGTCTAGAAGACTCTATCATGTTAAGAGTTCCTCTTACAATAGAAATAGTAATAACATTTAGACTTATATACTGCCCCATAGTGCTTTACAGCACCCTCTGAGCAGTTTACAGAGTCAGCATATTTCTCCCAACAATCTGGGTCCTCGTGTTACTGATCTCGGAAGGATGGAAGACTGAGTCAACTTTGAGTCCTGTCAGGATCAAACTCCAGAGTTTGCTTTCAATACTGCATGCTAACCATTACCCCACCAGTGCTCTTGTATTGAATGTATTGGAAATGGCCAAAGACTAAATTAATTAACAAAAACAATGGCAATCTGGAGGTTTAGTGTCTTCTTGTTGCTGCTTCTCCAGTTTCCTCACTTCTACATCACTGGCAAGATTTATTTTGGTTGCTAATGGCTTTTGTCAATATTTATGGTAAATTTGACCAGTACTTCACTTAATTTACTCAATATTGCAAAAGATATAATAATAATAATAATAATAATAATAATAATAATAATAATAATAATAATAATAATAATAATAACCCCCAGTGAGGCACTACCTTGACGTGGTTGTGGGGCTTGTGTACTCTGAGGAAGATGAGAGCTATGCCAGAGGTTCAACCATACTGGACAGGTCTCATCAGAGGAGTCAGACAAAGAGTGTCTCTCCCATAAAAAATATGGTGAGACGTAAATTTCAGAATGCCATACCGGCTCGGACGTCGCCCGGGTTAACAAGGTCCGCACTAGATATTGGAGTTCCTGGATATCTGGTGAAAAATGGGTTACAGGACTCAGGACTGTTGGCTGAGCAACCAGGGCCAGCAGCTGCAGAACTACTGGAAGAAAAGGTGTTTACCCGTCGCAGATACACAGTGATGGAAAACAAAGAAATAATGATCTGTTACTACAGATCAAGTCCAACAAGACGAGGATATCTAAAACGAATGCACGAATTCTGGAAAGAACAACATCCAGAATCAGAAATAACAGAACAGAGACTAGCAGATCAACGCCGATTTATAACACGAAATAAAGTATTTACAGAAACAGAATTGGACGAACTGCAAAGGTTTACCCAGGGCAAAGAAATCAAAGCCTTACAAGAAGTAATTCAGAATGTAGAGGCAAACCAGGGGGAGTTGGCAGTGAAAGAATCCAGTAGAGATATACAACTGTTCTCATTTGGAAACCAGGCACCTCTTCCTCAGGAAGAACAAAACCCTCTAACTAAAGAAATAAAAGAATTGAAACAAAGAATAATTGAGCATCTAGAACAGCACAAAAACAACAGAATAAGGCTGCCTGCATTGAAGCTTGTTCCAAAGAAACAGCTAGCACAAGCATTAAAAGATGCAAATACTGCAATAGCAAGTATAAGCACCAATTCACTGCAAGAAACAAACCAACTAATGTACAGCACAGCTGCAGTTATAACAGAATACCTGGGATGCAAAATCAACAAAAAAGAAAAACAAACAAACAGTGCACCACAAAAATGGAAGGTTAGACTAGAAAATAAGATCAGCAAGTTAAGATCACATGCAAGCAAGCTAGAACAGATGAAAGAAAAGAAGCTGAAGAACAAGAAGACCAAAGAATACCTAATCAAGAAATACCACTTAGAAACAAGGAAGATCAAGGAAGCACTGGAAATAATAAAGCAACAAATAACAGCTATAGCCAGGAAAATCAGTAGATATGAAGCTCGAATTGCAAACTATAGGCAGAACCTCCAATTTCAATCCAATCAGAAACGTTTCTACCAATCCATCAATGGAGAAACTGCAAGGAATCAGTCAGTACCTGACAAGGAAGAAACAGTGCAGTTCTGGAAGCAGATATGGGATAACCCAAAGAAATACAACAAGGATGCGGCTTGGTTAAAAGAGGTGGATGCAAATAAAACAGAAGTTGAAATGAAAGAACTAGTAATAACAACAAAAATGGTAGAAAAAAGAGCAAAGAAAATCAAAAATTGGTCAGCACCAGGTGAAGATGAACTGCATGGGTTTTGGTTGAAACATCTAACTGTTATACACCCACTCATTGCCAAACAGTTCAACAATATACTACAAGGAGGAGAAATTGAAAAGTGGCTAACAACTGGGAAAACCTACCTAATAATGAAAAATCCAGCAAAAGGGGCAACACCAGGTAACTACAGGCCAATTACCTGCTTACCAACAACTTTCAAATTACTAACTGGTGTGGTAGCTGATGCAGTACAACAGCATCTAGTTGAAAACAATCTCTTTCCACCTGAGCAGAAAGGAAACCGCCCCAATAGCAGAGGAACAAAAGATCAACTCCTAATAGACAAAATGATCTTGGAAAACTGCAAGAGAAGGAAGACCAACCTGAATGTGGCATGGATTGACTACAAAAAGGCATTTGACTCTCTGCCACATGATTGGATAATAAGTGCCTAGAAATAACAGGAGTCAGTAGAAACATCAGAAAATTTGTGCAAAGATCGATGGCACAATGGAAGACACAGTTGCAGATCAATGGTGAGAAGCTGGGAGAGGTTAATATCAAGAGAGGAATATTTCAAGGAGATTCATTATCACCATTACTATTTGTTATTGCACTGTTTCCTCTGTCAACAATACTGAATAACTCAGGACATGGCTATCAAACATCAAAAACATCTGCCAGACTATCCCACCTCCTTTACATGGATGATCTGAAGCTGTATGGAAAAACATCATCTGAAATAGAATCGCTGCTCAACACTGTCCGTATATATAGCCAAGATATTGTAATGGAGTTTGGCTTGGACAAATGTGCCACACTTACTATCAAACAAGGAAAAATAGTGAAAACTGAAGGAATCAAGATGCCCCACGAAAATAACATTAAGAGTCTGGATGAGGAAGAGTACTACAAATACTTGGGTATCCTTCAAGCTGACAACATCAAGCACACTGAAGTCAAGAAAAAGATTAGAGGTGAATACATCAAGAGAGTGAAGAAGATCTTAAAATCCAAACTCAATGGAGGAAATACCATAAAGGCAATCAACACCTGGGCAATCCCAGTCATTAGGTACACAGCTGGAATAGTGGACTGGACTCAAGCAGAACTAAAAGCAATGGATAGGCAGACCAGAAAAATAATGACAATGAATCATGCCCTTCATCCACGCAGTGACATTGATAGACTTTATCTACCAAGGCAAATAGGTGGGCGTGGAATGCTACAAGTACATCAGATGGTTGAAGAAGAAAAAATGGCTTTGGAAGAATATCTGAAGAACAATGATGAAGATGCACTGAAATTAGTATATCAGGAAGGCTTACTAACTACTGGAGAGACCAAACTGGCCTACAAGAAAGACCAAATGAAGAACAGAATAGAGGCATGGGAAGACAAAGCACTACATGGCCAATACATGAAAAAAATAGCTGGGAAAGCAGATAATAATAAAACCTGGCAATGGCTAAGAGCAGGAAAATTGAAGAAAGAGACCGAGGGACTAATTCTGGCTGCACAAGACCAAGCCTTAAGGACAAATGCATACAAAGTCAAAATTGAGAAGACAGCAACAGACAGTAAGTGCCGCCTATGCAAAGAAGCTGAAGAAACAGTGGACCACTTGGTAAGCTGTTGCAAGAAGATTGCACAGACTGATTACAAGCAGCGGCATGACAAAGTAGCAACAATGGTGCATTGGAAGATCTGCAAAAAATATCATTTGCCTGTAAGCAAAAACTGGTGGGATCATAAAATAGAGAAAGTCATAGAAAATGATAAAATTAAACTGCTCTGGGACTTCAGAATTCAAACAGACAAGCACCTGCAACATAACACCCCAGACTTAACAATTGTCGATAAGAAAGACAAAAAAGTCTGGATAGTGGACGTGGCAGTGCCTGGAGACAGCAGAATAGAAGAGAAAGAACTGGAGAAGATAACAAAATACAAAGACCTACAAATAGAAATAGAAAGACTGTGGCAAAAGCAAGCAAGGGTAGTACCAATAGTCATAGGCTCCTTGGGTGCAATCCCAAAACAACTGGAGCACCACTTGAACACCATTGGCATTGACAAATTTGCTATTAGTCAATTGCAAAAGGCGGCCTTATTAGGAACTGCTTCCATCCTGCGACGATATCTGTAATACCATCAAACATCCACATCTGCCTATCCCAGGTCCTGGGTAAGGACTCGATAGGTAGACAAAATGCCAAATCCAGTCTGAACATCTGGCTGACTGTGCGATGAATGATAATAATAATAATAATAATAAAGTTGGAAGGGACCTTGGAGGTCATCTAGTCCAACCTCCTGCTCAGGCAGGAAACCCTATACCATTTCAGACAAATGGCTGTCCAG